GCACCCTACAGGACAGGTTCCTATTGTCCTGCTTCATCTGCCAGGGTTTGTTTCTGCCCTAGCTGTTGACTCTTCTTCGCAGCTTCACTTCTTTGTGCTTCAGGAGCAGGTCCAGGAGACTGTAAGACCTGATACATAATCCCGACCCTGGCTGATGTGAGGGCTCCTATGGCAGAAACCTACCATAATTTCAGGAATTTCTTTAGCCTATAACCAAGTGTTTGCAAGACTAACTTATTTTCAGAATATATTTTTTTTTCTTTTGATTATAAGACCATATGGGTAGAAAACAGGACCCTCAAGGTTAAAGAATATTGTAACCAAGGAAACAAGAGAATTCATGACTCATGTATTTAATTTATGATGGTTCACACAGAACATTAAAAGTTTTACTTACCATGCTGCAAGTTATTTAAGGGAGTCCATGCTCTTAAATTTGATAAATTCTAAAGTTTCAGTTTCCATGCTTTTTAACTCAGCCACACTTAGCGTTACCAGCTACAATTTTCAAACTAAGTTCTACTACAAGCAGTAAATGTTTAACAAAATGTCATCCTTCCCAAGAGGTTTCCTAAGCACTTTGATAGGTTCTCTCAGGCAGTCTGAGCTCTGGTCCCCATAAATCCATGCTGTTAACTACTTGGGTTCTTACCTACTTCTGAATCTGAACTGATGTCTGTAAGAGGGCAGGGTCTTTCCTTGTAAGACAATGTTTCTACACAAAAAGTCTAATTCTAACATTTATGCCATTAAATTTGAAGTATCAAGATACAGATAAAATGAGCATTACAAAAGTTTCAATTCTTAAATTCCTTTCACTGAACTAGGCAACAAACTTTAATAGAAAACCCTGACAGTGATTTCCGAAATACATCCTGGGTGTGCGTGCATGTGTGTATGAGTGCGTGGTAAGCTCCCTCTTCTGGAGTTGTTTATCACTCTGTTCTATCCCAGCAACCTAACACCCTTCTCCATCCTCCTCGCCATAGTAACCATACGCACCACGTGTTCATGTGCCCCTTCATTTAATCTAATCTACATGTGATTGGATGTCCTGATAGATTTTGGGCTTTCTGGCCTCTTAATATAAATACCTGCAAGGAACATCACATAAAATTCGATCATAGAAGAGAATCTCTTTCCTTCCGTCCACATCTACTGTGAGTCTAGGGATGCTGGACGCATCATGGTTTACCACCATGATGCAGGGACTGCTCAACCTTTTGGCCTGATGAACGAGCAGATAGCAGCGCTTGTTGTCCACGTCATTTGCGATAACAAATCCCTCTAGGAACATAAAATTGCAGTCAGGTGAGATGCAGCAGAAGTAGAATCATTCCCTGAAACACATAACCATAACCTCTGGTCGGCAGGTGAGAAGGAAAGCTCTGTGAAATGTTAAGACCTGACATCAAGATTTCCTAGGAAAGCTAAAAGGAGCTGTCAACATGTGGGTTTTACAGGCACCCAAAAATATCAAAACCTCAAGTTTCATTGGTGAGCAGCTGTTCACCTTGCACCTGATGAGCTGTAACTGCTGTGCTAACGACTTCTCTAGGATTATTGATTATGAGGGAGACAGAAAGGCACACAAAACCTTGTCCATGTGCCAGAGCTCTGCTCTAGAGTGAAAACCACGCTTGGGACAGGGTCTTGTCACCCGAGCCCATCAACGGGCCCTGGGACATGGTGCTTGGTTTAACAAGCTCAGAACTATCCCCGGGGAAGTTTCCCAAGCGGTGACCCTGCTCATTCCTGGCTCCTCCCACTCCAACAAACAAGACAAAAGAAGCTTAACAACATTTACAGCCAGGATCATTCTTCCCAACACCAAGGAACATAGGACATCAGGAACACACAAAGGAAACTGCTCCTGCCAGCTAAGAAGGCCCTTTACTGACAACATGGAAATATTAAAAACAGGTAATACAGATGCTTTGGGGGGAATTATTATCTACCAATAAAACGAGGGCTTTAAAAAAATGACAACCAAACAAGGAGGGAGAGAGCCGTCCACACTGCTAGTAAGTCAGGCAACTAGAACAGAAATGGGGCCGGGCAGCCGGCTGCTCAGAGACAGCCAGCATGGGAGACACTGGCGACTGCAGAAACGGCGGCCACCTCGTGAGCACTCTGCCGCCTCCCCACACCACTGCACATCACATCCCACTTCAAATACAGCACCTACGGCTGCCACAACCCACTGCGGAAAGGTGCGGGGATGTAAATGGAGGCGGCTAGCAGCAACAACTAAGAACAGTGTGCCACTGCGTCTCACCTAAGGCAGGAACTGACCCAAGCAGAGGTGTACTAGCCAAGTTCGAAAGTAGGTCTGCACACGAGGCCAGGCCTGACACACACCTGCCCACTTCCTATTACAGAGAGCACACACAGAAGGGTCTCAGTCTGACCGTGCTGGTTTGAGAACTCATCAGCAGTGAGCTACCCTCGGGAGTCACAGGTGACTTCACTGCCCAGGGAGCAGCAAAGGGGAGGACTTTTCCTTGCCCACAACCCACCAAAGTAGCTTCCCTGCCCCTCAGTGATTACCTGGAAAGGGGACACTCATGTCTGCATGCAACATTTCAATTAACTGTGTGGTCTTTGATCCAGGGGCCGCACACATGTCTAAGATCTACGAAACCAAGCAAACAAGAAGGCATCACTCTTTAAAAGCTGTAATACTCTACATTTGATCTTAAGCCATCTTGTGAGTCACTCTAGTATGCTGACTTGCATTCCAAGACCTAAACTGCACTTCTCCACGATGGAGAGAATGTTCTCTGCTCGTAAAACCAAGAAGTCACGCGGTGATGGGCCCGGCCTGCACAGGGGCGGGACAGAACGAGGCTGGGAGCTGCGGAACGGAACGAAGAACGGAGTCACCCGCACGACACGGAACGGCAGCCCCACGGCAGGGACCACTCCCTTCACGTCCTCCTTTCTCTCACTGCTCCCGACGGTTGTGGGACAAAGTCAAGCCATCAGTTCACTTAGAAATGATGCAGCGGCGCTCAGCCAAACGAGCTCCAGGAGCCAATGTGACTCAGCAAAAAGACCACAGACGGCTCTACCCATACAGTTAGTCTGCTAAGTTAACACCAAAACCAAAACCCTCTGAGATAAAAATGTATGCAGAGCTGTGTGTATTTAAGGAAGAAGACAAAAACCTTGCAGCACATCTCACCATTTTCAAAGGAAAGGAGGAGGCAGAGGCGACCACTGAGAGGCTCAGCAGAGCGGGCCGTCACGGCCTACACCTACCTCCCACCTTCTCTCTGGTACACTACCTTATGATGTGGCTCCACGTTGAGCAGCAGGGGGGGGATCATGCTGACAGCCTCCTGCCGGCTGATGTTTCCCTTGGGGAGAAAACCAGGACCAGTTAGAAAAACAGCACTTCAAATGAGGCGTGTGTCGAGAGCAATAGGAAAAGGCCCCGTAATCTCCCGAGAACAGAAAACTCCACTATCACAAAATACTCAGTGAGGAGATTTCTGAATGAATGGACAGTGGCTTGCTATCTAGAGATCAGTAAGAACAGCCCACTAGCACCAAGGCTAGACTGTCGGGTATGACACCGGAGGCTAGCACCACAGTCTAGGTCCTCTCAAGCACAGGGGTTGGATAAGTGTCCTCAAGGGCGGTCTCCTATCTACAGAGCAGCAGGTAGCCAGGAGGAAAGAAAGCGGCTGTTAGGCAGTGTCCACTTTCTAGATCTAAGCAACTCCTGCAGAGACAGGACCACCAGCCTCTGATCCTACCTGTAGCTTTCAACAACTATCGCCACCTCGGGGAGTTGTTTTCCTGAGCACGCGAGCTGGCGGATGGAGCAGCAGACCAGCACTGCCTCAGTCAAACTCCACCTACAGCCTGCAAGCGGCGCAGGCATGCACAAGTCACCAGCTTTTCAGCACCCAAGACACTGGCCAAGCACTGGCACAGGACAAGTCAGGCTTATGACATCAGAACGGACATCTGGACTTCAGTTACTGCTCTCACAGGTCTCGGTCAGCAGTGATTCCCTGGCACTTGGATTCATTCACCTAGGCACACTGACTCGAAGCTGCCAGTCTACCCATGTGACTCCTGTGTCAAACTCTGCAGAAGTTACAAAGCCAACCCTGCTCAGCTGCACAGCTCTCACAACCTAGCTCCTGATAAACCCAAACAGCCACCTCCTATACCACAAACTGCTGCCTACCACACTGGTCCCACAGCCTCTGCTCTACCCAGCGCACAAACCTGATGCTCCCCCATGAATCTTTTACTGAGCTACCACGAATAAGGAGCTGGGCAGAGCACAGTACAGACAGGGATGTGGCAGATCTCAGTTCTTACTATCCAGGGAGGGAAAGCCAAGGCAAATTTATGCCCTTTACCTATTTTGACATAAAGCCATGGTGGCAGGAAACAGCTAGAAATTGGAACTGAGCAAGGTGAATGACATTCAGATTGGTAATGGCGCCAGGAAAGAAGAAGTACGGGAACCACAGTCCTTCTGAAGCTCGATGAACAAGAAGCCCACTGCATCTAGTGGCACAGAAGGGTCACCTGACCAGAAAGAGGTGGACAAGAGGAGGAGGGGAAACCCTGAGTTCCAAAAGAAGGAAGAGGAAAGCGCCAGGGCGCACTTACCCACTACGTGAAAAGACGGTGTCTGTTCCTGGGACACCTCTGGCTACAGACCTGTGCCTGAAGCTGCCCAAAGCAACCCTGAAGGACAGCACCATGAGAACCACAGCTACACTTAGCTACAAGCATTGGTCACGGTCAAGTATAGGAAAAATACATGGCAAGATTCAACAGGATCAAGTGAGGAAATAACCTTAAAAGTAAACTAGACAACCTCCAGTCCACTAAGTGGCCTTAAAATGTTGTACTTCTTTATGACAATAAATAGAATGCACATCCAAGAAAAAGGAGTACACACTAAACAGAAGTCCATGACTGCCTAGTCCTGTACTCATCCAGATTCTACAGCCACGTCAATCCAGAGGAGACAGTAAGACAAACTGGCCACTGTGACAGGTGAACTCGCTATCCTCATGATTCCGTGACTGAACAAGCCGCAGATGAATCAACATCCAGACACTAAACTCGTGGTCCTGCCTATGCCCCTCTACAGTGGGAGTTCCATGACACAGCACTTGTGTTTCCAGGCCCCCAGCATACCCACAGAACCAACTTACACACTCAGTCTCGCTAACCAGGAACTGATGAAACTTTGCCAACAGTGGAGACTTTCTCAAGATTTTTCGACTTAAATTTGTATGCCAGGCAAGTTCTTCAGGGTACCTAAATGAGACGAGATGGAAGTTAAGAAATTCACCATTTTCAAACAATAAGGCATGCGTAGCAGATATTTAAATGTTAGACAAATATGTGATCATGATTTTCCTAAACTATGTTCTGTTTCTATACAAAGCAGTTCCACAAGGCAACAAAAGAGGAAACCGCCATCACGCTCATTTTTAACTCCTGGCCAGGGTTAGCTATACAGACTGAAGAAGTTGGCCTCTTTGCCAACTGTGTCAACCCATGGACATTCTATCTTTATGAGGTCAGTGGTTGGGAAATGTGTCCCATCTGGCCTGTACCTAGTCACCAGTCCACAATGGCGGAGATGAGGGCTCTGATACGACCCACAGCACAATGCTCATCACGCCTAGTGAACCCAGTGTCGAACAGGCGAGACAGTGATCAATCTGCGTGTCACTGCTCACTGTTATGCCTGAGGCATGATAACGAACTCCATTGGCAACACAGGTCACAAAGGTTCTATGTATCAATCTATACCCATGGTGGCAGCCGGGACAATGAAACCAGGCTGACTGGAAAACAAAGTGACGAACTGGAACTTGGGACTGACGCAGAGAACAAACAAACAAACTTTTAGCATCTTAAGACCCTACTCAATAGCCATGCTTTAAGATACATGTGATAAGTTCTGTCTAGGAAACTATGAAAATGGAACTGACTGAATTTTACACACAGCGCCCTCCACTCACACAGACCGTGAAGCTATGTTCCATTACCAGGCAGTTAAAAACTGAAGTATTTATTTGTTCTGGTTCACTAGAGGCAGTAATATAGAGACCCCCAGTCTGGGCTCCTAGTGTTGTATTTGAGAAATGTGCTGGGCCACTGTGTCACCTGAAACACAGAGGAGTAAAATGCCAGCTCTGATATAATTCTGGCAATCGCAAACTTGCCTGTGACCAATGACAGTATAACTGCAAATTACCAAGTCACCAGAGCATCCATGTGAACACCGTATACCACCTAAGACTTATTGGAAATAACTGAATTTGCATTTCAGGTCAAGGGAGCAACCTACACAGTCAGAGTAAATAGCTTCTATGGTCCTCATGGGTCAGGTTCTAGTATCAATAGTTAAGGTGTAAGTTTACTATGATAAGCTTCAAGTTCTCCTGTAGTGAGCATGACAGCTGTTGAGCTTATGATTAAAATGTTTTAAAACTTCCGAATAGCTAAATACAAAAGTGAAAATGAATAAAAAACAAACTGACCATACATCTTTAGAATAGCCAGCAAATACATACATATTTTAAAGACAGGATCTCATGTGCAGCTTTGGCTGGTTAGAGCTCTCTACCTAGACCAGGCTGGACTCAAATTTCTGCCTGCCGCTGCCTCCCAAGTACAGGGATCAAAAGCTTATGCCACCTCACCAGGCAATGGCAAATATTTCCAAACATGTACTTTTAAGATCGAATAATCATGAACATGTATATTTGTTGTGGAATAATCTTTTGGTACACTGTGAAGATGTGTCTTTGCCAAAGCACCTTCTGATTGGTTTAATAAAGAGCTGAATGGCAAATGGCTAGGAAGGGAAAGAGGTTAGGTGGGACTTCTGGAGACAGAGCTCTGGGAATAAGAAAGGCAGAGTCACCAGCAGTGGCAGAGGGAACAGACATGCAGGAGGAGAGATAAAAGCCAGGACTCACGTGAATGAGTGAGTCCTGGCTTTCATAGATGAACGGAAACGGATGAAGTTATAAGAGCTACGGGGGCAAGCCTAAGCTATAACCGAAGTTTCACCGACTCACGACAACAGACTCGCAACTGAACGACAGCAGCGTACACGCGAGTCATTCCAAACCTGGCAGCATCAAGCTCCAGGTGTCTGTCCACTCGGCAGCACCAGAGTGTGGATCACTGCTGCACACTGATTTCAGCGTCTGACATCCCGTACTCACTGAAATAACATGTTGTGCCTAACTATGCTGCGGACACCACAAATCCAAATGGCCAGTGAGAAAGGTAAGCTACATTCCCTGATGACCAAAACCCTAATCTTGGGTTGTTACCACAAAAGATTACCTAAAAATAAAAGAGGACAACACCAATTTGTAAATAGTCAAAGCTCCAGACATGGTGGCACAGGCCTTTGATTCCAACAGAAAGGAGTCGGGGTGTTCAATCTCTGAATTTGAGGCCAGCCTGGTCTACATAGCAACTTCCAGACCAGCCAGAGCTACATAATGAGATCCTGTCTCAAAAATAAAATAAAATAAAACAGTCAAAACCTACAATTACCAGTAAAGACATACTAAATTCATCCTTATATAGCAATAACTTAAAAAAAATACTTTTCTTTTGTGAAAAGTCTACCCCCAAACCTGCAATCTGAAACCATAATTAAAAACTTCTGTAAGTTTGTCGATTCGGGTATCTCCAGAGCATCTAGGCTGTTATGGGGCACTTCAGGTATTGCATGAGGTATCCTACGCCTCGTGCTCTAGGGATCACAGGTAACACATTCATGGGAGGTATCATGGGAGCAGGAGTGCTTGACTGCTGGACACAGTGCAAGACTGAGCCTGCCTGGAGGCTGTGCCAGCCCGTGGTGAGGCTGTGCCAGCCCGTGGTGAGGCTGTGCCAATCGGAGTCTGCGCTCCCCTCCCGAAGGGAGAGCATCCACCCTGAAACTCTGATGTGGGAAAGAAAGGGGAGGCTGTCGACAGAAGTGAGAGAAGCCACTCAGGAACTTCAAAGAAGAGGCTGGAACCAAAACCAACTGACTGAACTTGGTGTGGGAACCATGACCAGCAAGTCATTTACGAACATGGGCATACCAGTCTGACGTTCACAAAAGCTTCAGGGAAAATAACCTAAGATGCTGGACAAGTTCACCCCTGCTCTTTATGCTGACAGCGATTACAGAGCTGAGAGATGCATCCAAGGGGCAAAAATGTAAACAAACAAGTAAATAAATACGATAAAAATCCAAGCAACACCCAACACAAGGGAGGATTTTCTACCTACCAGCTTAGTGGCTGTGGAACTTCAACTTTCTGTCCATCTACCTCCAGGTCCTCCAACTCCTTAAAATACTTGTTCTTCAAGCAATGGAGAATCTCTTTTGCGTGGCTATGAAAAAAAAAAATAAGCAATTTTCACAGTGACCTAAAACGCTGAGTTGGTAAAAATTTAATAACTTTAAGACTAAAAATTATTTTTAAAACTAAAGCCAACTCTGAAATGTTCCTTAATCATGCTGGGGCGTGCGGCCTTCTCACAGTCCGGCACTGTTCATTTTTAAGAATTCAACTTGCAAGGCATCAGAGCCCACTGACTGAAACCAAAAATCCTTCTAGTTTTACTGTGCTGCGTTGGCGAATGCGATACTGCACTTCTGCCCGGCTTCGTGTCTATGTGCAACACACCTTGGGGCTGATGTACAGCGAAGGGCGGGGAGAGGAGAGGCAGAGGAGACGCCACAAACCTCCCGTGTTCCTCAGGTGGACCCATCCGTTCACCCACCTCCAGGAACCCAAGTCTTTCTCGGGTTGCGTTTTCTGTTCATACTCTGGTCTCTCCACCTGCTGCGCCGAAGCAACCCAGGCTGCTTGCTCCCCTGCACCCAACCCCCCTCTCCAGAGCCTCCGAGTGCCCACACCTGCCCAGGACAGACAGACGGACACAGCCAGCAGCAGCCTCACCTTTTGTAACCGGTGATCCTCAGCGTGGCCGGGAGCGGCTCCCGGAGTGAGCCCATGAACTGGTCCCACTCTCCCTCGGGCACGATCTTGAGCTCCTGATAGTAGTGCTCGAAGAGCTTGTTCTCCTTGATGATCTCGGGGTAGCCGCCCTCCCAGTCCTGGACAGGAAAGCGCGCGGTGAGCGAACCCCCATCCCCGACCCCCCACGCCCGCGAACCCGGCCCACGAGCAAAGCCTCCACGCCCGAGCCAGCGGGGCGCCCCGCTCTTCCCCCGCCCCCGCGCCTACCGCCTGGCCGCGCTTCCTGCCGCCCTC